CTTCATAGGTTGTCATTGTTATTTTGGCGCTATGACTCCATCATTTAAATTTTTTTTCATTCATTGTCAGGCGTTAATAAATATAAATAAAAAAACCGAAAGAAAAAAAAACAAGGAATAGATCAAAATAAAAAAAAGAATCATCTATATATATATTTTGGATTTTTTGTTTATCATGTTACATGAACATTATTCATCATTCCTGCTGATACATCCAAAAATCTCGCTTTCCTTTATTTTCTTTTTCTTTTTCTTCTTTTAAAGTGGCCCACCAAAATCTCTTTTTTGCAGGACTACTATTCATTTTTTAGTTTATCACGTTACATTAACACTATTTATCATTCCTGCTGATACATCCAAAATCTCACTTTCCTTTATTTTATTTTTTTCTTTTAAAGTGGCCCACCAAAATCTCTTCTCTGCAGGACTATTATTCATTTTTCCGGTAACATAATAAGCTAAGGGTTCGTTTTTTCTAAAGTTACTTTAGATAAATTTATCTATTGTTCGCCGAAACTAACAGAATCCAAAAAACTCATGAGAGTGATTGGTTTGAAGAGAAAGAATGTTTATTCAATATTCCAGAAAGTCTGATTCGATACATATATATATATACTTAAGCAAAAAGGCTAACTAACGTTTAAACTTCACTAAGTTAGTTACAACTGATTGCTAACAAACTAACAGAAAGTGCAAAATACACGTGTGTGCTGTGTCAGCAGAATAACTGATTTATATTACATATATCAATATCCCCCCTCAAGTTGGCATATGGATATCCATAAGTCCCAACTTGTCAACAAGTCCTTTGAAATTGCGAGGAGGTAATGCTTTAGTTAAAGAGTCAGCTACTTGTTCTGCTGAAGACACAGTCAATAGATGGATCAAACCACTATGAATCTTTTTCCTAACAATGTGGCAGTCTATCTCTATATGTTTTGATCTTTCGTGGAAACTAGGATTATGTGCCAAGTAGATTGCGGAACGATTATCACAAAATATTGCAATTGGCTTTGTCATTTCAATATCCAAATCAGTGAGCAGATATTTCATCCATTGCAATTCACACGTCAAACTGGCTAATGCTCTATATTCTGCCTCGGAGGATGATCTGGAGACTGTGCTTTGCTTCTTGGATTTCCACCCAACTAGTGAAGAACCAAGAAAAATACAAAACCCGGTGATGGAGCGCCTAGTGTCTGGACATGTTGCCCAATCGGAGTCTGCAAAGGCACTAAGTTTGAGCTTAGTGTCAGCAGAAAAAAAAAGGCCACGACCAGGAGTTCCCTTAAGATATTTAAGAACTCTGAGTGCAGCTTGCATATGGAGATCTGTAGGACAACTGACATATTGGCTTAATTGTTGGACGGCATGACAAATATCAGGTCTAGTTGTTGTCAGGTACAACAATCTTCCCACTAGACGTCTGTAGCTTGCAGCATCCAAGCAAGGTTCTCCTTTATCTCGTTCCAATTTAATCCCTGAATCCATAGGAGTTGAGACTGGCTTAGCTCCCAAAAGGCCACCATCAGTTATTAATTCCAAAGCATACTTTCTTTGATTCATTACCAAGCCTTCTTTGGAACGACTGATTTCTAAACCAAGGAAATAGTGTAGTTCCCCTAAATCCTTGATGTGAAATCGACTATCAAGAAATTGTTTGACAGATATGATCTCCTGCATGTTATTACCAGCCAATACTACATCATCAACATAAATCAAAAGGGCTGTAAATGAATCTTGCCTCTTTTTAATCAGAAGTGAGTGATCCGCTTCAGACTGCTTGTAGCCAATGGACAGCAACGCAGAGGTGAGCTTGGAGTACCATTGTCTACTAGCTTGTTTTAATCCATATAAGGACTTTTGCAATTTGCAAACCTGATTAGGCTTTGAACAACTAATACTAGGTGGTAAAGACATGTAAATTTCCTCATTCGAATCACCATGAAGGAAAGCGTTGTTAACATCCAACTGCTCCAAGATCCACCCCTTCGATGCAGCAACACCAAGGAGTGTACGAATGGTTGTGATTTTTGCAACAGGTGAGAATGTGTCCAGGAAGTCTACCCCTTCGAGTTGAGTATAGCCCTTTGCAACTAGACGGGCCTTGTAACGCTCAACACTTCCATCAACATGATATTTGACTTTATATACCCACTTACATCCTATAGGATGCTTACCAAGAGGTAAATCAGTAAGGGACCATGTACTGTTTTGTTCTAAAGCTGAAATTTCAGCTTGCATTGCATCACGCCAGCATTGCTCTTTCACTGCTTCTGAGAATGACTGAGGTTCAACTATGGAATGAAGATTGAAACATAATGTCTGATGTTGAGAGGAACAATTGTCATAACTCAAAACTGAGGATAAATGATATGTTGATTGGGAACTAAGGGAGCTAAGGGAGCAATGGAAATCTTTTAGGTAAGTTGGAGGTTGTCTAGTTCGGCTAGATTTTCTTGGTATGTGTGCTGGGTTAGGTGTGTGCTGTGGGAAAGGATGGGCAGCTGATGGAGATATTGTATCAGGTACTGTAAAGTATGGTAAGGGTGGGGCACTGTGAGGTCACGGTTAAGTTCATTAGGTGAAATGGGAGAGGTTGTCGTGCATTCAGTATTGTGAAAGGATAGGTTTGGTGAAGTAGATGGTGAATTAGGTGGTTTGACATCTGAGTTTACAATGAGGAATGGGTCATCAGCTAAATTGTTAGGAGCCATAGGAACAGATGAGGTGGTGTCAGATACAGTCACATGCGTGGAAAATGGAAAAGTGCTTTCATGAAAAATCACATTTCTAGATATGAATACCTCCCTAGAAGTCAAATCATATAATACATATCCCTTTGTTCCTTCTCTGTGACCAAGAAGAATGCATTTTCTAGCACGAGGACTGAATTTTTGCCTGTTGGATACAAGGGTGCTAGCAAAACAAAGGCAACCAAATACCTTTAAGTGAATCAGAATGGGAGGCATATTATACAGCAGTTCGTAAGGAGAACTATTCTGCAATGTGGGGCTGCTCAACCTATTAATCAGATGTACAACATGCAGTACTGCAAATGACCAAAATTGGAGAGGCAAATTGGATTGAAACATTAATGCCCTGGCTATGTTAAGAAGATGCTGGTGTTTCCTCTCCACTACACCATTTTGTTGTGGACATTCTACACAAGAGGTTTGATGGATGATTCCTTTGTGAGAATAAAATTCAGGCATTAAAAATTCAGCACCATTGTCACTTCTGATTATTTTGACATGTGTATCAAACTGGTTTTCAACCATTGCCACAAAATTTTAACAACGCTTGGGATACACCACCCCAAAAGCTAGCTCAAAGGGTGAGAGTGCCCAAGGCCTTATAAACTCCACATTAGTTGCACATACAACCAATGTGGGACTATATATCTCAACACGCCCCTCACACAAGAGCCCTTTGGGCTTGAAGAGTGGACAATGCAACAGGCCCAGCCTACCTGTGCTAAGAAATGCCACATAAGAAAGTGGGGAGCGGCGAGGCTCTGATACCATAACAGAATCCAAAGAACTCATGAGTGTGATTGGTTTGATGAGAAAGAATGTTTATTCAATATTCCAGAAAGTCTGATTCGATACATATATATATATATATACTTAAGCAAAAAGGCTAACTAACGTTTAAACTGCACTAAGTTAGTTACAACTGATTGCTAACAAACTAACAGAAAGTGCAAAATACACGTGTGTGCTGTGTCAGCAGAATAACTGATTTATATTACATATATCAATAGAAACGACGTCGTTTTGGAACGGAAATCATGGTATATTTGTAATTTTAATTTATTTCAGAGTTATAATAGTCTTTATCATTCTAATTTTTTAATTTTTCAACTTCAAAACAACGTCATTTTAGTGAACATTAGATAAAATTATCTAAAGTAACATTAGATATTTTTTTCCATAAACTAAAAGCCCATATATTTTTTTATGAATATCTTTGGTTGCATCGCGAAATTATTTGCATCAGTTTCTTTTGCATCTTTCATATATTATTGGACAATATTGGGGTTTCTTTAGCAGCCCAATTACCACTCAGAGTCAACAAAGACACATCAGAAAGCCCATATACTTCAGGGATTATGAAATGTAAGCTGGGCCAATCTTCTAGAAGTTAGCTAGTAGAATAGCATAGTTTGAATTTTTATTTTCAGTAGCATAGCATTTTATCATTCCGCAATAGCATAGCATTTTAGCATAGCATAGCATTTTATCTTTATCTGTTTGTTATTTCAATTAGATTAGGATTGCTTTTCAATTATTATTTATTCAGAAAACGATAGAATACTGAGACCGGAAAGTTATTTGGATTGGAATGATGATGATGATGATGAAAATGAGCAAACTTTAGCACCTGCTATGCCCAAAACTTCATTATCCACTTACACTTTATCAACAATAGCAGAAGTTATTGATGCGATAACTTTCATCCTATTCGAAAAAAGTCTGTTTGGATTGAAAATTATGAAGAAAATGGAATTGAAGATCCAATTACTCTCACCTTGCCTTTTTATCAGATTATGACCCTAGAACTTTTCAAAGTGATGTAAAAGAAAGTGTGGCAAAAGGTGATGGATGAAAGAAATTGATGCCATTGAGATAAATGATACTTTGGAGCTAACTGATATTCCAAAAATACACAAAATTATTGGTATAAAGTGGGTATTCAACACAAAGCCAAAGGAAAATGGTGAAGTTGATAAGGCATGATTGGTAGTTAAGGGATATAGGTTGAATATGGGATTATGGAAAAAATTTCGCTCCAGTTGCAGCACATGATAAAATTAGATTAGTAATTGCACGGGCACTTTAGAATTACTGGCATATCTTCTAGTTAGATGTCAAATTAGTATTGTTTTATGGATACTTGGCGAAACAAATACTTGTAGAACAACTCCATGGTTATGTTTAACTAGATTAAAAATGAGTATAAAGTGTACATACTTAAGAAAACCCTCTATCGACTAAAACAAGCTCCATGGGGCTTGGTATTGTAGCATTGAAGCTTATTTTCTTTTACAATCAGTTTCTCCAGTACCATATTTGAAAGGAGTTTAAAACTTTAATTGCAGGACCCGTCTCAAATCGGACTAGTCGCGAAGCGATGAACCAATTGAAATCTGTCCAAAAAAAAAACAATGTCCACCTTAGCATACACTTTTCACTAAAGCTGGAGAGGAAAGAAAAATGCTCGTTGTTTGTTTATATGCTCAATGATCTTATATTTACTAGTAATAGTGATGTCATGTTTGAAGAATTAAAAAAATCAATGATGGTTGAATTTGAAATGTTTGATCTTTGCATGATGAATTAATTTCATGGCATAAAAGGCGTGCAATTTGCTAACGAGATTTTTATTTTCTAAAAAGTGATCCGTGCAAGAAATTTTAGATAAAATTCAACTGGAGGATTGTAATTCTATAAGCACTCAAACTGAGTTGGGTTTGAAGCTAAGCAAAGATCATAAAGTGGAGAAAGTGAACAACACATTGAACAAGAAAGTCATGGACAGTTTGATGTATTCAACAGCAACAAGACCAGGCATAATAACATTTTGTATAAGTTTGGCTAGTAGATAATCCAATAAAAATGCATTTGTTAGCTGTCAATATCATTCTTGTTATTTGCAACAAAATAAAGACTTGGGGTTATTTTGCACGAAAGGTGAAAAATTAGATGTTTGTGTTTACCGTGATTATGCAGAAGATCAATATGAACACTTTCTCTTTCTTGTTCTTCCAAGAAGCAACCATTTGTAAGTCATGCTTACGCAAGCTCAACAAATTGAATTGATTTTTCTTTGTACGAATAACTGCATATAGTACATTAGGTTTGACTATAATCTTCTAACTCAAGGTGTAGCTTCGCTTTACCTTGGTTTTTTCTTCTTTTTTCCCTACCATAGGGTAAAGTAAATCACTATTATTTCACTTCTGTTTTAAACAACTAGTTTTATATTGAACAATCTATACTTCACTAGCTGCATTTGGCAAAGGCGAATTTCTGTTGTTGAAGTTCTTGTTAAATCCGTTCTTTAGTTTTTCAGCGAAGTTGAGCTTCACAAACACTTCCTCCCTTTGGGGGCGGTTTGCATAGAGTATCCAGAGAACAAGACATAGCAAGACACCAACAGAAATGAGGCCGAGTCCTGCATTGATAACCTTAAGATAATGGTTTAATGGAGGACAGTAACTTGAAACGATTTCTTTGAATGTATCCCTCACAAAATTGCAATTCTGAAGGCTAAGTAAAAGTGGAGTGTAATGTTCTAATGCATAGCTTTCATTAACTGCAGCTACTAACTCAGAGTATATCATTGGGGTCACCCTGCCAACACTGGCGCAAATACCATATTTAGACAACTCACATTCATACTTCTTCCAAACCTGAAATTTTTAAACAATGGTTTTCATGAATTACTTGTATATATATCATTGGCAGTAACAAAAATAAAAATAAAATCAAAAAAATTCATCCCACTTCCTGTTAATAGCTTACATTAGTTCCATGACTTGCAACATATCAGAATGGTTATAATTATCTAACACATTTGCAGTTTAGCCATTTAGTATTATGTGTCAGTCAATCATATGCAGCTACAGAAACACCAATAAGCCTAGGTAGAACATTTCAACCATCAAAAGGGTTAAGAAACTTAAAGCCAATTCCAGTGGTACAAGGGTATATTTGGACTAACACTAACCAACATCTATTTAAAAATTATAGAGAAACGAGTTTTCAAAATAATTTTTAACTTCCCACAAAATATAGTTGTTGTTGGGAACTCGGTTCCTCAAATCGGCTCAGGGGCCTTTGTGCGGAAGTCAATCAACAAGATCCTGATCTCGGATCTCGGAAATACCTCGGCCTGAACTTCACTAGGTCGGGTAGCGCAGCGGAAATATCAAAACGAAAAATCACAAAACAGGAGAGAGAGAGAGAAGAAGAACACAACCAGATTTACCGTGGAAAAACCTTCTTCAATGAAGAAGTAAAAACCCACGGGACCTAGTCCAGATCAAAAATCCACTATGAAATAATGGTTACAAAATAATCAGAATACACCAATGTGGTGGTTAACTCAATCTCTCCAACAATGGTGATAATCAAACTACCCTAGAGATGTTTCACTCAAACTCTCTCTAGAGATCTCTCAAATGCAAAGCATAAAGCTTTGCTCAAACAATTTTCTCTCAAATATCTGTCAAATAAAATTCTCTCATATGACCTAGCCTCCACCCACAACTAATGAGTATATATAGAGGAGGTGGAAATTAGGGTTAGGGTTTTTAGGAAACCCCTCAAATGGGCTTGGGCTTAGCATTGAAGGAGGAAGCCCAACAAATCTTCCCCCTCCGACTTCAATGCGTCGGCTTCAGCATCAACCCGGCTCTTTCACAGCAGTCTTCAAATTTTCTTGCTGGAACCGGCTTCGTCATCATGTCGGACCAATTTTGGTCAGTGTGCACCTTGACGAGTTCGAGCTCTCCACCTTCCACCATATCCCGGATCCAGTGATACCTCACATCAATATGCTTAGTGCGGGAGTGATAGGTTAAATTCTTTGCAAGATGGATTGCGCTTTGATTGTCACAACCCAGCTCGTACTTGTCTTGATCATGGCCGAGTTCCATGAGGAACTTCTTCATCCACAGCATCTTTTTGCTTGCCTCAGTAGCGACAATGTACTCAGCCTCAGTTGTCGATAATGCAACACATTTCTAAAGTCTTGATTGCCAAGAGACAGCTCCTCCGGCAAATCTCATCAAATATCCTGTAGTCGACTTCCTCGAGTCGGCGTCTCCCCCTAAATCAGAATCCGAGTAGCCTTGCAACTCGGCTTTGCCTTCTCCAAATTGGAGACATAAGTCGGTCGTACCTCGGAGGTACTTGAAGATCCACTTCACTGCTTCCCAGTGCTCTTTGCCGGGGTTTGACAAATACCGGCTTACCATTCCAACAGCATACGCCAAGTCAGGTCTAGTGTAAACCATTGCATACATCAAGCTTCCGACGACAGATTGGTACGGGACCTTCATCATCTCATCTTTATCTTCATCAGATCTCAGACATTGCTTCTGGTTCAGCTTTATGTGTCCGGCTAGGGGGTGCTCACTGTTTTGGCTTTGTCCATGCTGAATCTCTTCAAAATCTTCTCAATATATTTCTCTTGACTCAGCCACAGTAGCTTCTTCTGTCTATCTCGGATGATCTTGATTCCGAGAATCTGCTTTGCAGGACCGAGGTCCTTCATTGCGAAGGAGGAGCTCAACGCCTTTTTCAGGGCGGCTATCCTCGATTTGTCTTTCCCTACAATAAGCATGTCGTCAACATATAACAACAAGATTAAAAAATCTCCGGCCTCATACCTCTTTACAAATACGCAGTGGTCGGCTTCTGTCTTCTCAAACTTATGATCAGTCATGAATGATTCAAACTTCTTGTACCACTGCCGAGGTGCTTGCTTCAAGCCATAGAGGCTCTTCTTCAACCGACATACCAAGTCTTCTTGGTCTGGAGCTCGGAACCCTTCGGGTTGTTCCATATATATTTCTTCTTCTAAATCACCGTGAAGAAATGCCGTCTTCACGTCCATTTGTTCTACCTCGAGGTCCATCGAAGCCGCCATGGCTAACACGGTTCGGACCGAGGTCATTTTCATCACAGGAGAAAATATCTCCTCAAAATCTACTCCTTTCTTCTGATTGCAGCCTTTCACTACAATCCGGGCTTTGTATCTCGGCTTTTGCCTGTTCTCTTCATTCTTAATCTTGTAGACCCATTTGTTTCTCAAAGCTCGTTTTCCTTCTGGCAACTCGGTCAGCTCATAAGTCTGATTCTCGTGCAAAGACTTCATCTCGTCTTGCATTGCCTTTTTCCATTCTTCTTTCTCTGAGCTCGTTACAGCCTCATCATAACTCTGAGGCTCACCGTCTTCAGCAACAACGGTGTATTCATCAGATGGGTATCTTGTAGAGGGTCTTCTTTCTCGAGTTGGATATCTCGGCTGTTCTTCAGCTTGAGAACCCGGTTCATCATTCTCATCCTGGATCTCATCATCAACTCGGACCTCAATGTCTTCGGCATCTTCAGCTTGTTGCTGGTCATCAATTTCTTCATTTTCTTGATTTTCTCCCCCTGCTTCAGCTCGGACAGGAGGGATGGGTTCTTCTCGTTTGACAGTAACTCGAACTTTGGGCTTCGAGATGTCATGAAATATCACATCTCGGCTTCTCACGATCTTCTTATTGATTGGATCCCAAAGTCGGAACCCGAACTCACATCTCGGCGAACCAAGATAGATGCATTCTTTTGTCTTCGCATCAAGTTTATCCCTTTCATCTTTAGGGATATGCACGAAAGCTCGGCATCCAAACACCTTCAATTGATTATAGGCCGCTTTCCGACCTGTCCAGATTTCTTCTAGAATTTCTCCTTCAAGTGGCTGTGATGGTGAGAGGTTGATCAAGTCAACAGCTGTTTTGACGGCTTCTCCCCAGAATGATTTCGATAACCCGGCATTGGATAACATGCTTCGTACCTTCTCTTTAATAGTTATGTTCATCCTCTCAGCCAGTCCATTCAGCTGAGGTGTCTTGGGAGGCGTCTTCTCAAGTCGAATCCCGGCCGCTCTGCATTATGCATCAAATGGGCCGCAATACTCACCACCATTATCAGATCGGACCACCTTCAATTTCTTGCCAGTCTCCCTTTCAACCATAGCATGAAATTCTTGAAAGGATTGGAGTACCTGGTCTTTAGACTTCAACAAATATACCCACACTTTGCGGGAATGGTCATCAATGAATGAAACAAAGTACTGAGCTCCTCCAAGGGATCTTTCCGACATGGAGCAGACATCAGTATGGACGATGTCAAGAATATACTTGCGGCGTCTTGGTTGATCCGGTCTCATAAAAGAAACCCGGTGCTGCTTTCCAGCTAGGCAGTGCGTGCAACTCTCCAACGCTTGACCTTTCAACCCGGTCAGTAATCCCTTTTTGTTTAGGATTTGGAGCCCTTTCTCGCTCATGTGGCCGAGGCGCTTGTGCCATAGCTCCAAGCTAGGTTCATCTCGAACAGAATTGGCTTCTCCGCCATTGATCTTTCCTTACATCACGTATAAGGAGTCTTCCTTCTTACCTCGGGCCACGACCAAGTTTCCCTTGGCCAGCTTCCATCTAACATTACCGAAGTAGTTCACAAACCCGGCATTATCAAGTTTGCCTACCGAGATTAGGTTCAAACGCATGTCAGGAACATGCCTTACATCTTTCAACACAAGTCGGCATCCGACATCCGTGGTTAGAGCTACATCACCGACACCAACAATCTTGCTGGTCACTTGATTTCCCATCTTCACGACTCCAAAATCACCACCTCGGTAAGAGGAGAAAAAACCTTTGTGTGGAGTAACGTGGAAGGAAGCACCAGAGTCAACAATCCAGGTGCAGTCATCATATGCAACATTCAAATAATTATCCTCGCCAAGGAGGAATATCTCGGCATCCGGGTTGGCAGCCACCGCAGTGGTGCTCTTGTCTTCCCTCTTCTTGGGAATAATTTGATCCGGCTTCACAGAGCCGTTCTTCTCATCATTCTGCAGGGTCCAGCAGACTGGTTTCTTATGGTCTGTCTTTCCACAGTAAAAGCACTTCAACTCATATTTCGGCTTTAACCGACCTCTGGACTTTCTTCTTCTGTCACGATCTCGACCCCGACTTTTGCTTCTACCCCGGGAGTCGGATTTTCCTTTGTTCTCAGCAACGTAGCCTCAGACGTGCTTGAAACACCTCGTTCTCTTCTCCTGACTTCTTCGCTCAGGAGGCTGTCTGTCACGACATCCATCTTCAACTTTCCTTCTGGAGCTGAATTACTCAAAGTCACCACTAGAGTATCTCAGCTTTCTGGCAGCGAGCTCAACAGCAGCAAAGCCTGCATCTCATTATCAATTTTCATTTCAGCTTTTGACAGCTGATTCACAATACTTTTATAGGTGTTGAGGTGTTCAATCATGCTCATGCAGCCCTTGTATTCAAGCTTCACAAGTCGGCGAACCAGGTATCCTTTATTCCTGGGAGTCTTCTTCTGAATCATGGACTCCAGCTTCGTCCACAACTCATACGCGTTCGTGAATTCGGACACGTGCTCAAAGAGGTTTTTATCAATATATTTCCTGATCGTGGCTACCGCCTTCCGACTCAGGATCTCCCACTCCTTATCGGTCTTGCCTGCCGGTCTCTCATCAAGGGTAATGGGCTCATGTAGATCTTTGCAGTAGAGATGATCTTCCATCATCGGTCTCCAATAAGTGAAGTTGTCTGCGGTCAACTTGAACATGTCTCCATCATTGGTTATGCCACTGGTCTCCATCTCGTCTCCCTTAGAACCCGTCGAACTCGGGCTCTGATACCACTGTTGGGAACTCGGTTCCCTCAAATCGGCTCAGGGGCCTTTGTGCGGAAGTCAATCAACAAGATCCTGGTCTTGGATCTCGACAATACCTCGTCCTGAACTTCACCAGGTCGGGTAGCGCAGCGGAAATATCAAAACGAAAAATCATAAAACAGGAAAGAGAGAGAAGAAGAACACAACCAGATTTAACTTGGAAAAACCTTCTTCAATGAAGAAGTAAAAACCCACGGGACCTAGTCCAGATAAAAAATCCACTATGAAATAATGGTTACAAAATAATCAGAATACACCAATGTGGTGGTCAACTCAAGATCTCCAACAATGGTGATAATCAAACTACCCTAGAGATGTTTCACTCAAACTCTCTCTAGAGATCTCTCAAATGCAAAGCATAAAGCTTTGCTCAAACAATTTTCTCTCAAATATCTGTCAAATAAAATTCTCTCATATGACCCTGGCCTCCACCCACAACTAATGAGTATATATAGAGGAGGTGGAAATTAGAGTTAGGGTTTTTAAGAAACCCCTCAAATGGGCTTGGGCTTAGCATTGAAGGAGGAAGCCCAACAGTTGTGTAGATCAATTTTCATTAAACAAGTGATTGATCTACACACGTAAGTTCATGGGAGTCTAATCTTCCCGCTATAAGGTATTCAACCAACAATCCAAACGATGGAGAAAAAGAGATACCAAAAGAAAAGCATACCGATGAAGCATTGGTAGAGGAAACTTCTTGATCCGTACACTGCCGGTCTCGAAACTCAGAGTCAAAGGGATAGCACAAAGGTGGCATTGCAGGTCCAGACTGATTGTAATAATTCTCACTACCTTTTGTTGGATTTGCATCTGCAGTATTGTAGACGAACCTATTGACAACACTGACAATATTGGTAACCACTTGTTTACTCTGAAAGAGTGTCTTGTTTGTGGTTCTCTGATCAACACATGGAAGGATATTGCTAAGAGCAGATTCTGCTTGTGGATTCTCCACCCATTCTCCCATAGCCATACAGGTGTCAGAAATTGCACTGTAATCGAAATAATCTAATCATGTCAGGTCCATTTGGTTGTTAGTGAGGAACAGAAAACTGAAAATTTCCAGAATATATAGATAATTGGATTTCAAGGGTAAATTAAGTCCTGGAGGCAGTTTAGAAAGGGTATTGTTCCTCCTTCAAGAGCTGGTTACAATGAAATCATAGAAAAATATCCAATGACTTACTTATTAAGAATCATGAACACTCCACAGAGAAGGAATGTGGTTGCAACCAGTAACCATCCACTGATAACAAATCTGCAATAACATTTTGAAATCAAATATTAAAACTTGAAAAGGATCCTTGAGACAGTATCACAATAAGCAAAGGTAATATCAACACACGATAAGCAAACATAACTTACATGAGGATTGCATGTTGATGTCCACAGATAGACAGGACTGCAAAAAATATATTAGTAAATTATGAGCAAGAATTCAAGAATATAATCATAAAATCAGCTCAAAGTATTTAAGATGTTATCATCAATGCATACTTAGCCCAATTAGAGCCAGGAGAAGCATCACTGCTGCCATCACAATCAAAGCTAGATGCCTGGAAAATGAAAGCAGTTTAGCATTACTTAGATGCCAATATGAACTTTTAGATTGAACAGTGAAGTTTATGATTGCATACACAGCATTAAACACTTTTCGTATTTTAACAGAATTTTCGTTTGTCTGCTCAGAAAGCGTATCTGCTGCAGTATTTAGATCCATATTCAAATTGTCAATATCATCCATGATATCAGATGGAAGAAGCATCTCTGCAACATTGATAGATTTGGCAAGTGATAGATATTCTGTGACATTTCTTAGAGTCTGCACTGTATAATCTGACTGATTGACAACATAATGGAGGGTATTCAAGGCCTCACCATGGAACTTATCCTGCCCAACTGAAAGAAGGATACTTCCAGTCCTGTGTGATTAAGAGAATGGAAAATGTTAACTGGGCAAGATTTAACAGGACAGGTTGAATGCATCAATTTTGGAATAATAATAAAAATAATCAAAGTCAAACATCATTTTAAGTTCTGGTTTTGGACCATCACTTGATCAATACTCCACAAGCACAGCTGACATTGAAAGGGGATTCGAATTTGAAAATGGATCTCTTTGAAGTTTCGACTTAAAAAATTTCAGGCTAAATGCAGGATAACTAGATGAGACAAGTAAAACCAGATAGTTCTAGGCTCCAGATTTCTTATTTATATTTCTTTTTCCATTAACCATGCTTTCGTGCTCCAAACAATGTTATGTACAGCCGTACAGCACACAAACTAACACAAAGGTAAATTTATGATAAATGAAAATTTGAGCTAATGGTATATGCAGAGCAATCACTTTAGCTTGTACCAAAAAAAAAAAAAAAAAAAAAAAACGATTCTTAAAATTTCATAGCAATTAAATGCTGTCATAACCAAACTATCATTAACAGTCGTATTTATTCATGAAATCATATGAGAAACACTCATTATATGTTTATGAGAAAGAATTACAATAGCAAAGACTATTTGGCAACTAATCATGAGTATAGATGATTAAACAACCAACTTTATATATTTATGATTAAAAGAAAAAAGGAAGGGGAGCATATGGAAATAAAGCACACTGAAGAAGTTAACAAAGGGACAATAAAACAACGTTCAGAGAATTACGCTGCAACACAGGTGAATAGCAAAAGCAGTGTAAGACAAATTCTTTGCGAATGATTTGATCCTTCATCCTTGATGTTAATACCCCATCCACAGCATAGATGAATCACAAGTGCCAAGCCAAATGAAATAAGCCATAGGAAAGCAAGGATGAAACCGGCCCCACCAGTGAATCCAACGGACTGCACATATAATGGTTAAAAATTGATTAATTGAATTGAAGTGAATACCAAAATTTAATTGGAGCAAGAGGGGAAAAAGGAATCCGCTGAAAGAAAAACCACAAAGTAACAGATCAATAGAAGCCAAACTTAATATAAATAATTTATGGAGAAAAAGCAAATGCAATCAAATTGCAAGCGGCTATGACTGTAATGTGCAAAGAGCTATACAAGTGTGACATGTTGAACCATACTGAGATTAAAGTAAAAATTAGCCATTCTTCCAACCACTTAAGCTTTGAGATTCACCTTATTTATTACAATCTCAAAAAGTGAGTAAAATTAACATTGCCTAATTATAAATGTTCTGGAAGCTTGGTTTGGGCCCTTTATATGGCACACTTCCATGGCACGACAAAACGTCCACATTACCAATATCCTCCTCTCCATACAACAACGTCCCATTGTGTGATTGTCCCTCACAATTCGCAATATGATCATCTACACTAACCATATTGCACCATACACGCCCTTTAGAAAATTCTCCACAACCGCCTATGTATACCAGGCTTATGCCCTTAGGTAAAGCTTTTAAATTACTCCACCCTTTGCTTTTACTGACTTGAGAGTCGGGTTCATATAGGTGAACCACCACATGTTGTTCCACCACAAAACATGGAAGAGCCACCCATCAAGCACTTTGGACAACTATAAAGGGAGATCAGATTCAACAACAACCGATCACCAACAGAAACATGTTTAATGATGCACAAAGTCACAACTCCCCACCCCTTTTCTTTTGCTCAATTATTACATGTACCCTTCTATCATAAAAACAACAGAAAAAAAAAAATATGTTCAATCAGAATCTTCTCCATTTCAACCCAACATACGAAAAATCCGGAGTGCTCACTAAGATATGCAAAGCAACATACAAGAAGATCACATATAAATATCGAATTAGCAATAAAGACATACATAATAAATCAGTCATTTCAGAACATGATGCAAAGGATTCATTGTACTCACGGCCCAATAATGTCGATTTGCAATGTCCCAACCACCTCGGTAATGTCGAAATCGCCGTAGAATGTCAGGCCTATTCGTCCTGTTTGCAGCCAGCACAAGAGTACCCTTAGGAGAATGAGTTTCAGGAGCTGGAGCTAGAGCAACTTGTGTGACTTTATTCTTCCATGGACCCAAATTCACTTCTCCTGAAAACAAACGAACGGGGTAGGAACAGTATTATAAATTGCACAAAACAGACAATTCCAAAATCGCATAATCCAATTACATAAATTACGTCCATAAAAGCATTATTCGTTATGGAAAGAAGAATCAGCCTTGTTTGGTTGCTCTGAAAATATGCACCAACATATAAGGCGTCAAATAGTTTTGCAATTTCTGAGACTCAACATAACCATTTAGCCACAAAATTCTCAATTTGAGCTTAATTCAGCTCATGTGAGCCAATTAACAGAAACCCATATGAAATGAATCATAAAGTTGACACATTTTTCATTTTATGTTTTCTTCCAATTCCTTAGCTTTCTAAGAAACCAAAAAAACTGTGAGAAAACAAGACCCTACAACCAACCCCATCACAATGATCATCAATGTGACGCACGTTCACAATAACCAAAGCAGCAAAGACACCTGCAAGAGGCACGAACCTAGGATAAACTTCATCGTATGTCTGGTCGACCCTGTTGGAGATAAAGCTGAAATTGAACCAAGAGACACAACTATGGAGAAGATGAAAAAGAACAAAGAGACACCCTTCATTGCTGGTTCCCTGTAAGAAAATTCACCGGTCATCTTAAAGGAGAACACCCCATCATTTTGGATTCTCACTCCAACCCAATTCTTAAAACAACAAAACAAACCAACACAAGGACAGAACAAGCATGGTACTTGTGTTAGAATCAGTTAAACAAAGGTATGTATTAGGATTGTATTGTATTATAGCTAAAGAGAGGAACTTTGGATGATTTATAGGAAAAAAGAGAAACATGAAAGGAGAAGGAAGGAAGGAAGGGATTAGAGTCCACATGGGGTGGGGTAGTGATGAAGACTAATAGAGAAGGAAAACTAAAAAGGCGGGTTTGATTTAATTAAAAGTAGTTTAATTAACTTTCTCATTGTGATTAATAATACCACTCAGTTAAGTAAAGTAAAGCATTGCCATAGGCCATAGCTTTAGCAAATTGTTTGTGTTCTGTGTTTCTAGTTTGCTTCCATTTGTCTTTTCTGCTTTTCTTTTCTTATTTTTATATTTTCTTTTTCATTTGCTTTTTCTGTTTCCACAACTTTTTTTTTTCTTGACTATTTTGAGCTCCACTCACAGTGAACTTTATCTTGCAAAAGTCATCAATTTCCTTAACTGACACACTAGAAATCAACCCTGATGTTTGTGGTTGCACTGATCGGTTGTGTGGATGTGGGGTCATTCACATTTTTCATTTTTTTTGTTTCTATTTTTTTTTACTCTAATTTATATTAGTGTAGTTTATTGTTACTCTCACCTCATTTTGACTCTGATATGAAACCGATACTTAATATAAAGCAAAAATTTCTGTACCTAAAAAAATTTCAGTTTTCAAAAACAGTAGGAAGAAAGGATATTAAAGACATGTTGTGAACGGAAGCCAATTGCATTGAATTGGAATTACGAAAATTTGACTTAGTAAGTTGGGTTTGAGTTACTCTTTGAGTTGGTTCAGCTTGATGATGTCATATAATTATTTATATTTATTTTTAAAAAATATATAATAAATTATAAGACTTTTAAACTTAAACTGATACTTTTTATATAATACTACTCCCGCTCAGTTTTGACTCAATCGTTTATAAGGACAGTTTGGTACGTGACTTTTTTTAAAATTCTCGAAAAATTAAATTTTTTTAAATTTTAAATTTTTGAATATTACCGTAAATTAGATGTAAAAGTTAAATTTTTAAAAATTAATATTTTCAAAAAAGAAAATTCTCCTCTACTAAACGCTTCCTAACGTAATAATCTGTGTATATATATGTATATTACCCATTCAAAATAATATGGATTTGTATACATATCTAATTAAGTCCAACGTATTCCAACTTCCAAGTGAATGAGAGAACCAATATAACAGAGGGGGGAGTATTGCCGGCTCCCCTTCCTAAATTTTATTTTATGTATAAAATAATATTTTTTAATAATAATAAGTTATTAGTATTAATCATTTACCCTTCTTTAAAAATATTTATAATAGTTAATATTTTTTATTAGTCTTAATAATACTTATAATTTTAAATTTTCATTTTCGTTTCCTATTATAAAAAAAATTTGGGTTCACCGCTACAATAAAACAGAGGCATTTCTTTCTTTGTCAGAACAGAAACAGGATAGCAAATTGATGGGATTCTTTTGGAAACTTGTTTGTTTGATAATACCAACATTTTAGTGAATAAAAAAAATCTTAATTTAGCAAAATACTCTCAAGAGTGATTACGTTGGTCCAACATTGCAGATAAGTGATTTAGTAAAATACTATCATTATATCAAGATTAGGTCCCAAACTGAATATCCGTACATTGCAATGGTGTGCAAAGTGTAAGTCTGTGTGAGATTAAATTTGAGAAATCTACTAATTTTTATTAGTAACGAAGATATATGCCAATAGGCTCAATGAAGAGCATACACATCATATTCGAAGAGAAAGAGCTATTTTGTAGTTTTAATGATTCAATATGAACATCTCATAATCACACGCAATAAATTTTACCAGTAACACAAGCTAATTTTTTTTAATATGTGATAAGTTCTTAGTTGGAATACACAATTTTTTCGTATGATATATACGACTTTGATCATTATTTGTTTTATTTTTATCTTTCTTTTCTTTTTATTCGTCAATTCACCATTAATTATGCGTATAACGTCACTCTTTGTATTTTTGCGTGAAAGTATTTTTATATTTTACTAAGAAAGTATTTTTGCGCGCATAACTGAGATGAATTCTTTTATATTTTTTATATGTAAGCGGGAAACGAGGGAGTACGTTGATGTGATGCTTTTGTGATACTTTTGTATACTTACTTTGTTTGTTAGCACCAACTTATAATATATATATATTTTTTTTATTTTGGGTGAGCCCAACTTAGAATTTTTATGGGAATAAAGTTTATTCAAATGTAAGAGTATTTTTTATCATACTGTTATGTAAGCATAATTCGCTACGACTGGTAGCAAATTATATTCGTCAATAAATTTATGACACATAGAACACTTTCGCAAGAAAAAGTTACCGCGTCATAATTCGCTATAAGTGGTAACAAATTTGGTCTGTAACATGACCACGTGTCATGAAATCATTGACCACAAAATTTGCTATCACTTGTAACAAATTATAACACGTGACATCCTGATAAAAAATAGTGTTCGTGTAATATTTGGATAAAAAATTCGAATGGTATTTTGATCACTGTTTTTTTTATGTACAGTGCGAATGGATTCTTTATTTTTTTAAACTCATATTTTTTTATTGATTAAAGTCATTTTCTAATTATAGTGGTGGTGGTGGGTATGTCACTCGTAGTCGTAAATCATTAAAAAAACATGGGCGAGTGTCGGAGGGCTAGGCACGTGACCTGCTGATCGTGGCACGTGGGGCCCATATTGTTTTTTAGCAACAAAAGATAGGTTTGGGGCCACCTGTTGCATTAAAAGTAGTGCACCGTTGATGTTGATATTCATGTTGAAGTTAGAGCTTTTGCACTTTCATTACTGACACGGTTTTTTACGCGTATTGCCTTTTGTGTGATGCCTAATGCGGTGTATAGTGTAAACATAGCTCCGTTCCATTCAATTCGTGCGGCGCTGCTTTTGAATACAGTATTTATCAACTTGAGTATGAAAAATACCCTTTTATTCTTGTATTTAATGTTTTCATGCATTTATTATATTTTATTTTGTTACAGAGTCGTATAAATTTATTTGATACTGATATTGTTATTTTTGTGCAATATTTTTATAGGTTGAGAAATGAGAATCACACGTGATAAGAAGAGAGTTAACAAACATATTGATTTTGATCCCTATTCGCAATGAGAGGTCATGCAATTATCCAAAAAGCTCAAGTTTTCTATAGGAGGAGAACCAATTTTGTAATCCCTTTATGCAATAATGATTATTATTATTATATTCAATATTGTAGTGTTCTTCAACTTAATAAAAATTTAGTTAGAGTAATCAAATGAAATGCATACACTATTGAATATAATAATAATCATATAAATGTGAAAAATAAAGTATATAAATCAGTAACATGAACTTAAATTAATCCTCGAGAAGACTTCACGCACAGTTGAGTGGTTTATATATAATGTATAAGAGAAACACTGCATTCTAAAGAGACTATACAAAGTCGTAAGAAGCCATAAGAATAACGAGAAATATAAGAATTGTCACTAGTAACTTTTTTTTTCCTGCACCTAAAGAGTGTATAGAGAACCGGGAGAGAGAGAGAGAGAGAGAGAGAGAGAGAGAGAGAGAGAGGGAGGAAGCTTGAATAAGCTTAGATTCAACATACGAAGTCAAAGTAACACTCAAACCCCTATGGTTTGATGCAGTAGCAGACCCAGAAAAAAAAATTATGTGTGCACACTTAAAGTGGGGGTTTGGAGGCAGCATTCTCGAAAAAAAAAATTAAAGAAAATTTTAAATATATTAATTGTAGGGGTTAATTGATCAAAAATCAACCTCTATCGATGTCTATTTGATCCAAAGTTGACTACTTTTGTTTCACACAAAAATGTGAAAAATCTCATGCGATTCTCCTCCACTTGATGAAGATTGAATTTTAGAAATCATTGATGTCTATTAAAGTTTGGAGCTAATAAGGTTTATGTTAAAAATAAGAAGAGATAAAGCAATGGGGTAAGGTTTAAGCTTTAAGCTTTTAATTATATGGGTTGGTTGGGTTGGGCTTGGGCCTATTTTTACTCTCTTTTTTTTCAATCTTCTTAATATTTTTTTTTTACTTAGCCTAAATCACTCACCCCTTTAAAAAAAAATTCAAATTTTTGTGTCTGCATGTGCAGACACATGCAACAACACCGGTCCGCCAGTGATTTGATGGGTTCTTTCATGGGTTTTGGTAGGTTTCAAGGTGAGTTAGTCAAAGTGAGAATCGAGATCTATTTTTCGTGAGAATGAATTATGTTGATTTGATAATGATAGAGGAGGACGTGTATAAATCAAAACTCTTGAGAGTCACCGTACTAGCTTCAGCTAGCTGAGGATGAAGGGAGGTGTTTGAGCTTGATTATGCTTGAGTAACAACAAATTTGTGCAATGGAGAAGATGATTCGTTTGATGAGACTGAAACCTCTATTTATAGGGTGAATGAGATTCCCCAAATATGAAAAGTGTAATGACATAACCGTTTTGGCCTTGTGGGCCCCATTATCGTGTGAGATTGCGTGATCCCTATGCATGCGTAGAAAATGTGAAGGAACATATATATAAGGGAGTCATCTGTTCCATGTGTTAAGTGATTGTGATATTATCGAGCAGTGAAGAGCTAGTCCGCAGGGCCATCCAACCGGTCCAAAACACATGATTTTGTATATTTTACTTGTATATTGATTTTAATTTAAAGTGAAGTTTTGATGTTCCTACTATGTAAATTTTACACGACCAAGGATACTTAATTGTGATATTGAAGATTGGAAGTTTGAAAAACATATTTAAGCAAAAAAAAAAAAAAAAGGTTTCAGTACATGCATCTGACATATAAAGCAATCATGGATTTCCCATTCCTCCTCATGAGTCATGACCTTTGAAAATTTTCAGTGTACTTAAGTAGATGTGTAACTCATCTTTTGAAAAGCTATTGGCTTCAAATTTTGAACCATAGATTCCAATGGCTTCAATCATACGGTGAAAACTTTTGTAGTTGACAGCGTTAAATGGAA